TTACCATTGTGAATTGATAGAGATGAGAAGTCACTCTTGTACAATTTGTTTGTTGATAAGGTCAAGAATTGAGTAGTGAATGAAATATCCTTCTCTCCAACAAACTTTCCTCTCAGAACTAATTTAGAAATATGATTAACAATTATTTCCAATTCCTTAACTTTGAGATCCATTCCTTCTAATTCAGAAAATGTCATGTAATTATACAGAGAATTGACAATATTAATCAACAAATCGGATACTGTGGATGAAATGGATGCCTCTTCATTTTGTAAAGTTCCCTCAATCAAACTCTTAAATATGGTGAAACATTTTTCAAAAATGTAATTATTAATTTCATCATAATTTTCAACAAATGAAGCAAGATCAAATGTTTGAGTAGCTATATAGGATTCAGTCATTGGCTCATCAGGATTTCTATTGTCATAATTTTCAACAAATGATTCTAGCAAATCTAATCTCATTTGTTGGAATGCAGTGAACATGTCCTCACTCATACTACAATCAACTTTATAGTAACCTGAAGGACATATACACTTTCCTGAAACATCATCAACTTTACCACCATGTTCACAAACTGTTGTTATTGTTCTTATACTTCTTACAACGGTTATGGAAGAATACAATATGGTAGTAGCTCTTGAAATATAAGTAGTACTGAAAATATACTTGTTTGGATCACCAACTTTCAAAGTCTTGGCATAGATGGTCCAGGAGGCTGTTTTCTTGGTCACCTCAGCTAGAGTCTTTAAAACTGGTAATACCACCTTTACACTTGATTTTTGAATTATAAAGGCACCAGAATTTGTATCAATAATTTTGAAGAATACAGAAACATAAGGGTTTGTCGCAGGTGAACTAGTACTTGGAAGTTTTGTTGAATAGGATTGAATACCTGAATAGAGAGCCATTTCAACCATTGTCTTGTCATCAATGAAACCATATGTAATTTTAATAGAGTTGGCAGCATTTTGACAATTTGAACACTGAAGGGTAAATAATGTATCAAATGCGTAACCACTACTTGGAGAAACAGAGCATGGACATGGTTTTGGAGTAGTTGCAATTGTAAAACTGGTTGAAAATTTTGCTTTTTGAACTACTCTTAAATCACTCACTGTAAGACCAACTGTATAAGTACTTCCTTCTGTCAAGGTTGATGGATCAATAACTATAGAGTTTGAAGTGGATGGAGATTTGGACATTTTGTTGAGAACAGGACTGGTGGAACTTAATAATACACCATTAAGAGTCCATTCTCTTGAAATGTATTGGTCAATATCTGTTCTTTCATTGTTGGCAGTAATATCCAAATCAATATTAATAATATCTGATTGCTGTAAAATGTAAGCTTTTTGAGGAGATAAGGAAATCAAACTAATTGTTGGTGGTGAAATTCCCAACCCTGGTATAATGAAATCTACATTAGAATCCACACTTCTTGACCCCTTAACAATTCTAAGACTTATTCTCAAAGTTGGTTTTGGTTCAGTATAAGCAGACAAGGGAACACTAATGGTAGTACTCTTCAAAGTAGAGTAAGAATTCAAAACATCTAGAATGGATTGACTACAAGAGGATCCAGATGTCAAATCAGAACAGGCCCATAACCAAGTTTCTGAATCGATCAGTCCTTCAGGGTCCACAAATGAAGCTGTAATGGAAGCTGAGCTAGAAGTTATCATGGTAGAGTAAACTGAGAGAGTGAGTGGTTTTGAAATGGTACTAATTGATACTGTTGTATCAGAAGTGGAAGCAGAGTTTACTTTTGAAGTGGCAGAAACTGAGAATGAATAGAATTGATCTCCTTTGGTTAAGAACTTTCTTATCAAGAGATTATCATTCGAGTCAACAACCATGTCAACTACTGGCCCACTTGTTTGCTTCCAAACAATTGTCATGGATTTATCTTCATAATAACATGATGGGAAACTGATAAGTTGTTTGATTAAAACTGTAGAACTTGAAAAGAAAGTTGAAGGAGAAAGATCAACAGTTGAAATCTTAGGAAGAGGTGCTGATAATTTTTCAACAGAAAAAACAATTGGATTACTCTGCTTTCCTGAAATTGAACTTTCAACAGTAAGAGAAAATTGATAGATACCTGGTAATTTAGTACTATTGGATGATATTTCAAATATTGGAGTATTTGATACACTAATAGAAGATAAGATATTAGAAGGTGATGAAACCACAGACCAATTATAGTTCAATGGCTTCATATCACCTGAGTATGATCCAGAACCATCGAGTATAATTGAATCACACAAAGAAATTAGGGAAAATGATCTAATTGATGCAATAGGAATAACTGGAGATTCAGCATTCAAAACTTGTACTGTAGTGTATTCTGACAAACCATTATCGAATATAAGTCTATTCAGTTTCAAATAATCATTTGGTTTCAAAGTGTAGTCTGAACCTAAAAGTATTGTAAACTCTCCAATTACCTTATTGGTCCAATAACATGATGGAGCAGTTCCCATTTTGCTCAAATAACTTGTGTGAATTAACTTTGAACAATCAACACTATTCAAAGAATATGAAGATGGAGCAACAATTATTAATTTGATACCATTTAACATGTCTAAGAATTTTACAGGTCCTGCAATCTTTGTAGAACATTCCTTTCCATAATAACCAATTGCACACACATCACATGCAATTCCACCAAAATAACCTGTTTGCTGACTATATTGACAATCACACGTTCCATTCACATTACATAATCCTCGTGAGGAACATTTGGATTGAGGAGTACAGAATATTGTACAATCTGGTCCATAATAATTTGCTTTACACTGAGAACAATATTTACCATCCCAAAATCCAGAACATTCACAAACAAAAGTTGAATTACAAGTGCCATGACCATTACAAGTTCTTACAGGATCACAATTTAGAGTTTTACAACCAGTTTGTACAGAACTATATTCTGGAGTACATGAACCACAATCAATTCCATCCCAGTAACCATCTTGCTGAGAATTCTTACAAACACATGTATCTTTTGCAATGCATGATCCTTGAGAGTTGCAAACTTTTGGATCAGTTGATAAAATGCCACTACATGAAAACTTTTCACAAGTGTCTCCTGAATATTGATCATTACATTTGCATCCACCAATATTTGTAGTTGCATTCAAGAAGCATTGACCTCTTCCGTTACAAACTTGTGCTTCCTTAGAGCTGTGAGAGTAACAATACAAATTTTGACAAAGAGTCCCATTGTAAAAAACTTGTCCACCTTGAGAAATAGCACATTGACAAGTGTCAAGTGCAATACATTTACCACGACCACCACATACATTTGTATCATTAGCTAAAAGTCCATTACAAATAGGGTATTGACAATTTTCACCACCATATCCTTTTTCACAATCACACTTTCCAGGAGAAGAACATAAGCCATGACCAGAACAAACACCAGTAGCATTGAAAGCAATACCAAAACAAGAGAATATTTCACACTTGTCACCATTATAATGTAGATTACAGGAACAAACATTGGCAGCAGTACACACACCCCTTCCTGAACAAACTGTGGAGTCATTGGAAGGAATTGAATAACAAACAGGATATTGACAAGTATTTCCAGTATAATTTTCTTTGCATGTACAT